TTATGGGGTGTCATATCATGTGCTCTAGGACCATCATGCTCGAGGTACATTGACCGAGGAGGGAAGTTCATAACTGATGGGAACATATCCTCGGAATTAATGCCCAGGTTGTGACAAATAACGGGATAATCAAGTTAAAAGTAATTATTTATTTTCAAACATAACTAAATATATAGTTTTAATCTTTTTTTTTTTTTTTTTTTTGTTAGTAGTTAATGTCAAAAAAAGTAATCAATAAAAAATATTTATTTGAAAAACAATTATTTGTATAGGTAAAGTTACTTATGAGTAAATATTTAAGCTCAGCCAAACATGGCAGCAAGTAGCAACTTCTACATTTGTCTTCTAGGGGAAAATATAAATCAGGATTGAGAAGACTAAACCCAAGGACGAGAAAAATGGCAGAGAAATTGGCTCCAGAGCAACGTCACAGCTTCGTCCATAATGGTATTAACCTCCTCTTTTATATTCTTTGTCTGAATTTAGAATAATAAGCATGTCCAGTGGTGTGATGGCGTCAAAAATTTTCAGGCCAGAAAGTGTTCGAGTGGGATCAAACGTTGGAAGAGGTGAATATGTACATAACCCTTCCACCAAATGTTCCTAAGAAACTATTTCACTGTAAGATTGATTCCAATCATGTCCAAGTTGGGATTAAAGGAAACCCTCCTTATCTTGATGTCAGTTTTTCTAATTCTATTTTTTCTTTCCGAATTTCTTTTGCGCTTTTGTAAATGTAGTTTAGCAGTTCATTAATTGTATTCTTTTTTCTATTTTTTTTTTCTGTATGTAATGTTTACAGCATGATCTTACCTGCCCAGTGAAGACAGATTGTTCATTTTGGACTCTAGGTACTTTCTTATCGTTAAATAGTCACAAGAAAATTAGATGATTCCTTTTTAATGTGCTGTGAAAGTTTATGAGATTACTATATCTTGGTTACTTTTCTCAAGAATTTGAATTTACAGTTTGGGTTAACGGGAAAAGTGTGAAAGTTTTTGGCAGAGTTAAACCTAAATTTTTTTGTTTTGGTTGAAATCTAAAATACTTGTCAATAAGAGTGCTATTATATTAGTCATCACTCATCAAAGATGAAAATGAGCTATTTTTTCGGAATTTAGTGTAAGTTTGGTTATAAACATGTGAATTCAAACATGTGCAAACAACCGGAGGATAGTTTGTTAATGGATGTTTGAAATAGACCAACTCAAGATTTAGAGTACTGAACATACAGATGATAATAGCCAATTTATAACTTCTAAAGCATGTAAATTATCAGTACTAACTTGGAATATATTTTGCAGAGGATGATGTAATGCATATAACTTTTCAGAAGAGGGACAAAGGTCAGACATGGTCTTCTCCTATTGTGGGTCAAGGCCAGTTGGATGCTTACGCCACAGATCTTGAACAAAAGCGTCTCATGCTTCAACGATTTCAAGAGGAGGTACTGTATCTTATTGTTCTTTAGCCAAATTTGAACTTACAGTTATTGTTTTGCAATTCCTCTTCCTTCGTTCTTTTGACGTGTAATTTCAATGTACGCATATCTACTTTATGTGAAATGCTGATACGTTTGGGCATCTACGTTTCACTGAGTGCATGGTTATATAGATTCCCAGTGGACAATTTGGTCCTCTTTTCCTCTCACCCTCTCCCGGTCTCATAGGGAATGCTGAACACAAGGATCTTATTTTGAAGCAATCTCTTTAGTTTTCCCTTTTCTGAACTGGTCATGCAAGAAAATAAAATATCTTATTCAGCTGCTTGAGAAGATCCAATAGATTGTACTAATTAATTATTAATGGCTCATGTTATTTATTGTTTATGCTTTTTTACGATCTATAGAATATTCTGACATTTTCTCTTTTGGGGTTAAGATTTTTCACATTCTTCGTCTGGCTGACGTATATTTTACTTCCATTTTTGGTGCTTTTCTTTCTTGGAGTTGTGTCTGGAAATGAAAATTAGGTTTTTTAATTTGGGGTCCAGCATTGTGTTCCTTGTTATAATCTAATTGGGATATTGATATTAGATTTGAAGTGATTTGGTAATTGGTAGCAGAAAAGACTTATGCAGAAAGAAAATATGCATATCCAACAAATCCTGGATGTTGTAAGAGGTGAAAAACTTTATATTAGTGTGAAGAAGTGTTCTTTTATGAGCAACAAATTGGTATTTGGTGTTTAATTGTTTCAGCTGTGGGATTAAAGAGAAATCATGAGAATGATTAACGGTCATGGAGTGTATACCTAAAGTCTATTAGTGAAGTTCATATCTTCCACCAAATAGCTTTTCTGTCTGTTAGAGGTTTTTATTCAAAATTTAGTGCAATAATGAGCCATATACTGAGTGCTTGGAATGTGGAACATTTATATGGACATAAGAAGCAGAAAGAGCATTTGCCCAACCAATTAAAATTATGCCAAATTTGGACAAATCTCTTCGTTGTGGAGTACACGTCCCATATGGGGAACAGGCAGGGGCGGAGCCTCCTTATGGATACCCAAACAAAATTTATGCCCAAATTTAGTCTGTAAAAATTAGCCCACCTAAAAAATTAAATCCAGCCATAGATAATTAATCCAAAAGCAGAAAATAAAAAATTATTACCCAAATTCAGCCAATAAAATAAATAGCCCAACCAAAAGAATCTAATTCAGCCATAGATAGTCCAGAAGCATGAATTGTGTTATTTCCGAAGTTTTTGCAGTGGCTTGTGAAGATCATCGTCGAAATATTTGAGGATCCAGATTATTCACGTTCCTTTTTTTAATATGTTTTTGTTTGGAAAATAAGGAGAACGTCTTGTGTGTATATGCCATAGAACGAACGTGTGCAAGATTTTGTGTATTTAAATTGAAGTTCTTTTGTGTTAAACTCTTCAGCGTGAAGAACATAAAAGAATGTGGGAATTTAGTAATTACTAGCCTAAATCTTAATACTCATTCGATTGTTTGTTGTTCAATTGATACTTTAATTGGTATCCTTTGGAAAAAATACTAACTAAAACTATAGAGCAACTGATATCAAGGTTATCTAGCTTCCTTGTGATGAACCTCAATGCAATTATATTTTAGACGGTTCAATGTCACAGAAAATAACAGATGCTAGTTGACCCACAACAAGTCTTTCTTGGAACTAAGATGCTATATTTGATATTTCAGGACATCATCCATAATTTGAATGATATTTTTCACAAAGGACTGTCGTGATCTGAGTCTTAGGGCTTCTTAAACCCATTCAAAGTGTGGTAAAATGAGAATAATCTTTTTCGTATATAATTCAGTCAGAAAATAGAGGCCTTTATAGGCTAGATACAAACTTAGGTCAACTAGCTAAAAAGGAAACAAATAAAATATTCCCAAAAAATCAGGAATCATACTCTTAACTATTCCCCCCAAAATCAGGGATTAGGATCCCTAGGATTTACTTTACAACTAAATAAGAATCTAAAGAATTTACATCATTTTCCACACTACCCCTCAAGTCGGTGAATAGGCATTTTCCATTCCTAGCTTGGAAATGAGTGTCCGAAACATTGTACTGTTCAGTCCCTTTGTAAACACGTTATCTAATTGATTTGTATTGGACATGTAGGGCGGGTAGATCAAGGCATTGTCCAACTTTTCTTTGATGAAGTGTCTGTCTATTTTGACGTGCTTAGTTCTTTCATGGGTTGTGTGCAATATTGATAGCAGACTTGTTGTCAAGGTAAAGCCTCATAGGTACATCCCACATGATCTTTAAGTCCTCTAAGATGGTTTGTTGTCACGGTAAAGCCTCGTAGGTCCATCCCACAAAGACACATTTTAACGCCCTAGGATCCAACTTTCCCCTATTTTGACTATGGACATGGACAAATGATATGCACCCAAATATCCTAAGGACAAGATTATTTGTAGTGTAGGTTAGGATAGAATGTTGAGAGTATTTCCATTGGACTCGTAAACGATTTATAAGATGTGCGGCTATAAGAACTATCTCTCCCCAAAAGGATTTAGGTACATTTTTCTAGAACATGAAAGCTAGGTTTGATTCAAGAAAGTGGCCATTTTTCCTTTCTTCTACTCCATTTTGCTGTGGGGTACTAAGACAAGATGACTCGTATACTATCCATTCCTTCTGAAAGTATGGAGATAGACTTGATTGAAATAACCCCTAGCATTATTCGACCTAAACCTTTTGATATTGACCCCAAATTGATTCTTAATCATGGAACAAAAATTTGGAAGAATAGTACTGACATCATATTTATGTTTGAGCAAAAAAATCTAAGTAACACTAGTACGATCATCAAAGAATGAAACAAACCATTTTGCCCTGAGACATTAGGAATATTAGAACTACAAATATAACTATAGATGAGATAAAAAGGAATTGAACTTTTATTACTAACCGGAAAAGATATACGTTTATGTTTAGCGAGTTCGCACATTTCACAATGAAAATTTTCAACATCTAGACCTTTAAATAAAGAAGGAAACAAAATTTTAATTACCCTAAATGACGGAAGTCCAAGTCGGCGATGGTGGAGCCAAACTCTCTTTTTTGGATGAAAGACTATGAAACAAAAGAATGAGGTAATTTGCCCTTGATAATGCTTGACTGACTCGATGCTTCAAGGTAGTAGAGCCTATCACATTCTCTAGCATGTCCAATCATCTTCCACGGATCCTCGTCCTAAAATACACATTAACTATGATGAAAAACCACATTGCAATGTAAATCTTGAGTGAGTTTTTATATAGAGACAAGATTTGTGGACAGTCTATTTTTTGAGGTCAGTGATGGGCTTATTTTGACATCTTCGACACCTGCTACGGTGGTCGAAGAACCATCAGTTGTGACTATTTTCCTACTGCTTGGACATGGGAAATATGTGAAAAAAATATTTGGTGGGTGGGTCATATGGTTGGTAACTCCCGAGTCCATGACCTAGTAGTAGGCAAAGGTTATAGTCGAGACATTTAATCTAATAAAGAATGGAAACTCACTTGAATACGCCAATGAGCAAGTACGTGAAGGTTTGTCAAGGTTGCCAATAAGAGATGTCACCCTCTCGACCTCTTTTTGGTTGAGACGTCGTGACTTTTGTGGTGTTGCTTCATTCTGCTGTATCGCAGCAACATGGGCCTGACCATTGTTCCTTGATTGCTCTCCTTTCTGTCCCTATTCTTGGAGGTTTTCCATGAAGCTTCCAACACCGTTCACGCTTATGACGTGCTTTCTTACGGTAAGTGCACCACAAGCTATCCTTGTAATCACGGTTCTGATCTTTTGGTTGGTCAGGTCTTCCATTTCCAACAATTAGTGCTCTTTCCACATTCGTAGCTGAATTATTGCTAACAGTAGCTACTATGGCAGAGCTGTCAGTGCTTTGTGGTTCAAGCATTAGGCCTCTTCTACTTTCCTCACCTCATAGTTTGAAAAAACGTAAACGGATACTGAGGCGTTTTTTTGTCATGAGGCTAGGCGTAAGCCTCATCCGCCGAACAGAACAGTTGCAATCTGCCGAACAGAACAGGTGCAATCTGGCGTTGATGCACTAAACAAGAAAAAAGCCAAGCAAAGTCTAGTGAAACAATTTTAAATTGTAAGTCACTAGAAGAAGGCAGAAGCAAAGGAGAAAAGAGACATAGAAGCAGCACTTAATCCTCTTTTAAGCGAAGGATTGNTTTCAAAAATCTGAAAAAAACATACTTCAAAAGAGGCGCACGCCTCATTTTTTTTGCCTCAGATGTAGAGGCGTGCACCTCATTTTTTTTTGCCTCACAGATTGAGCCTCGAGGCGCAGCTTCGCCTCATTTTTTTTGCCTCAGATGTAGAGGCTTGCGCCTCATTTTTTTTGCGTCACAGATTGAGCCTCGAGGCGCAGCTTCACCTCATTTTTTTGCCTCAGATGTAGAGGCGTGAGCCTCATTTTTTTTGCCTCACAGATTGAGCCTCGAGTCGTAGAAGCTGCGCCTCACAGTGAGGCGGGCCTCAGCAGAGTTTTTTCATACCTTGCCTCACCTCGAGTCAATGCCACCACTTCATTAAAACAGGGAACTTCCTGCATGCCAAGAATCTGGATTCTCACTTGATCAAATTCTGGATTAAGTCCAAGAAGAAAATCATAGACTTTTTCTTGCTCTATGAAGTCCTTTAGAACAACAGCATCTTCAGGGCATTTGGTTTTTATCACCCTATAATGATCAAGTTCTTACCACAAAATTTCAATTGGTTGGCATATTTAGTAACTGTTTGACTTCCCTGTGTTGCAGCAATCGTCTCCACCTTGACCTCGTATACTTGAGCCACATCTCTAGCTTTAGAATATGTTTGTTGAATCGCGTCCCAAATATCCTTGGCTGTAGCCAAGAACATACACATCACTAATCTCTGGAGTCAGAGAGTTCCACAGCCACGCCATAATCATGGAATCCTTTTCATCCCAAGCTTCAAAACGAGGATATCCTGGTTTCGGCCTTGTCCCCGTGAGATGGCCGATCTTCCCCTTTCCTTTTAACAAGGTGCGAACAAGTTGGGACCATTTAAGGTAATTTTTTCCATCTAGTCTGGATATTTTGCAATTCCTCGGGTTGTTGGGATCGAAATTGTGCTGTAGCAGCTGTGTCTGCGATCTCCAACATCCTCCAAACAAAAAAAACCACAATCTCTAGGCAATTAAGGCAACAGTGAAGGCTGGCAAGGATCACAAAACTGCAAGCAATAAAGGCCGAGTTGTCAAAATAGAACAATTCTTCCCATAAAATTCTGAGCCTTATGGCTATGACACCATGTGGTAAAATGATAATAGTCTTTTTTGTATATAATTCAGTCAGAAAACAGAGGCCTTTGTAGGCTAGATACAAACCTAGGTCAACTAGCTAAAAAGGAAACAAATAAAATATTCCCAAAGAATCAGGAATCATACTTAACTATTCCCACAAAATCAGGAATTAGAATCCCTAGGATTTACTTTACTTTACAACTAAATAATATACATAATTTTCCACCTGTGATGCTCCAACTCTTCGAAATGGCCGGAGTACCTTGTCGACACGACACAGGTATTGGTATGTATTTGGGGTGGGTTCTCCAATTTTCTTGTTGACACGGCGGCGTCTAGAAGTGGGATGGAGGCAGAACAGGCGGCGTTGAAGGCGGCAATGGGAAGAAGCAATAGCAGTGTTGGAGAAGACGAATTTAGATGATTTATGGCTCTATTTATTTGGATGTGGGATGGAAGCAGAATAAGTGGTGACAGGAAGAAGCAGATGCGGAGAAGACAAAAAGAAGACGAAGGGATTATGGACCCAGTTAGGTTTTGTATGTAATGATGGGTTAATTGTGTGGGTTGGGCTGGGGTAAAATAAATTTTAGATAGTGGGCTTTGGTTATATGGGCTAATTTTGTTGGGCTACAATAATTTTTGTATTTAGGGTTGTTGGGTGTATATGTAAGTGGGGCTGTATTGGGCTTGATTTAGTTGGGTGGGGTAAGATGATTTATTTGCCACTTAATTATTATATGAGTTTTTACATGTGAATTTTTGAGGAAAAAAAAATTAAAGTTTGAAAGATGTACCCACGTACCCGTATCCGAAATT